CCCCCAAAAAATTACTTCAAGCTCTTTGCCAAGGTTTACTTTCTGCCCATAATTTTTCAGTGTCCTCCTTAGTTAAAGGTATGGAAATTTCTGCTGAGTCTATTCCTGCTAATTGATGAAGTCTCAATTTTTCCTTTTAAAATCAAGTCAGTGTGGTTCTGAGTATCTGCACACCTCCTCTCTCATCATACCATGGCGGACACCTTTGTCAGTACCTGGAAGCTATTAAACAGCAAGAATTTTGATGACTATATGAAGTCCCTCGGTGTGGGTTTTGCCACCAGACAGGTGGCTAGCATGACGAAGCCTACCACAATCATTGAGAAAAACAGGAATACTATACTCATAAAGACATACAGCACCTTCAAGAACACAGAGATGAGCTTTCAGCTGGGAATGCAGTTTGATGAGGTAACAGCAGATGACAGGAAGGTCAAGTCGATCGTGATACTGGATGGAGGCAAACTTGTCCATGTGCAGAGGTGGGATGGGCAAGAGACTCTGCTTACAAGGGAGCTGTGTGATGGGAAGCTCATCCTGGCATTCACCCATGGCACCAGAACTTACAAGAAGGAGGCGTGATACTGCTGCACTGTGGCTGACTGTTCCTCTGATAACTGGCTGCCCTTTGACTCAGCACCTCATTCCTCATTTTTTTCCCTCTGGTGTTTTGTATAAATACACTTGGGTTGGGATTTTTTTGGAGATGAGGCACCAGTCTGAATCCCAGTTCCCATTGTGTCTGTGGCTTTATTTTTTAAAATTGTATCCAAAGGTTGCTCTGAGGTCAATAAAGCAGAGCCAAGGCTGCCTAAATAAATAAATAAATAAATAAATAAATAAATAAATAAATAAGTAAGTAAATAAAATCAAGTCAGAGATCTTTTCCACATAAGTTTTTAAATCTGTTTATTTGGTAGAAATATCCATTCCAATATAATAAATTCCCTCCCCATTAAAATTCCTGTAGGAGAATGCTCAGAGGGTAAAATAACCAAAATGCAATCAAGCTTTGGATCTATACCATCCACATGTCCTCCCTGTACTTTCTTTTCCACCAAGGCCAGTTCTTTCTCAGCTTCAGCTGATAATTCTCTTGGACTATTTAAGTCCTTGTCACCATCTAAGGTTTTGAACAAATTACTAAGTTCATCATTTTTACCCCAACAACAGTTCATAGATAGGAAATGTCTCTAAATAATCTTTGAAAGTCATTAAGAGTCCATAATAGGTCACTCCTAGTTTGCACCTTTTGGGGTCTAATTTTTTGTAGACCTATTTTATATCCTAAATAATAAAATCTCCTCTTTGTATCTTTTCAGGAGCAATTTGTAATCCCCAACAAGGCAAATTTTTCTTTGCTTCTTCTAACATTTTTCTAAATTATCTACATTTGAATCAGCTAGTAAAATATTGTCCATATAATGATAAATTACAGATTTAGGAAATTGTTTACATATTACTTTCAATGGCTGTTGTACTAAATATTGACACAGAATTGGGCTATTCAATATTCCCTGTGGGAGGACCCTCCATTGCTATCTCTTAACTGGTTGAGAATTATTATAAGTAGGCACTGTGAAGGCAAATCTTTCTCTGTCTTTTTCTTGTAAGGGTATTGAAAAGAAATAGTCTTTTTTGTTTTTGTTTTTGTTTTTTCAAGACAGGGTTTCTCTGTGTAGCTTTGTGCCTTTCCTGGAACTCACTCTGTAGCCCTGGCTGGCCTTGAACTCAGAGATCCGCCTGCCTCTGCCTCCCAGTGCTGGGATTAAAGGCGTGTGCCACCACTCCCCAGCCCAAGAAACAGTCTTTTAAGTCAATATGTATAGGAGACCATCCTTTAGTTAACAGAGTAGGCAAAGGAATTTCAGATTGTAGAAAGCCCATTGGCTGAATTACTTTGTTTATTGCTCTTAGATCTGTTACCATTCTCCATTCACCAGATTTCTTTTTAATAACAAATACAGGAGAATTCCAAGGGCTGGTTGATTCTTCAATATGCTGAGCATTTAACTGTTCTTCTACCAGCTCTTCTAAAGCCTGGAGTTTCTCTGTTGTTAAAGGCCATTTCTGAAAACAAAAAGACTTGTCTGTTAACCATGATAAAGTTAGAGCTGTTGGTGTCTTTGGAAGATCAACAGTTGTATTGCCTTGTTCTTGTACAATTTGAATGGCTGGTGACCACTAATTAAAATAATCCCTCCTAATATTTCTCTCAGAAATGTGTTAGTTTATCATTTGTTTCTGAGGTTTGAGGAATGTTAATCTGAGTATTCCATTGTTTAATAGATCATGGCCCCATAAGTTCATAGCTATATTATCCACACATAGCTTTAATTTTCCTCTCTGTCCTTCTGATCCTATACATTTGAACCATCTTGCACCCTGTTTCACTTGAGATAATATTGCAATCCCTAACAGCTGAACATTTACCTCCTGAAGAGGCCAATTTGGATGCCAAAATTCTGGTGCAATTATTGTCATATCAGCACCTGTGTTTATTAAACCTTCCAAGAAAATGCCATTAATTCATATTTTTAATTTTGGTCTTTGTTCATTTATAGAAGTTTGCCAAAAAAGTCACTTATGGTTTCTCCTGAACTTCCTGTTCTCTATGCTAGAGCTGCTCTATCACCTGGAGCAGCCTGGTTTATTCCAATAAGCATTTGGTTATTTAATTGCTCTGAGAAGGGTTTTCTTCTATGATGACAGGAAAGGTCTGAACTGAATTTTCTGTGGGGGCCTGCAATAGACCCCTCTGGGAGTTTCCCGAGGGCAGAGGCAAAGGATTACCTTGTCTGTTACTTATTGATCTACATTCATTGGTCCATTGTTTAACCTTCTGCATAATCCAGAAGGGAGGGGCTTTCTGTTGCTGTTGTTTCTTGAATAAATATTCTTTGTAGGAATGCCCTGTTTACACTCCTTTTTGAAATGACCTTGTTTACCACAACTAAAATATCTGACATTATTTTTCCTCAAAGCTTTT